AACAAAAGTTTGTTCGGTATCATCTTCTGCCTGAGATACACATACTTCGTCTTCATCATAATCGCTCTCTTCATTGTTTTCATCATCCTTTTCATGGAAATATTGTCCGTATACGGCACTGAACTCCTCATCAACACTCATGTTTCATTTCATGCGAAATGCGAAGACGATAATCAACAGAAACACCTACACAAATGAGATAACAGAACATCCGGAAAGAGAGACGAATGAAAACAAGACAACAGCAGCTGCGCGGTATTAGAGTAAACGTTACTTCTCCAGTGTTACTTTTTTAAATGTTCCACACTAGCAACTTACACGATGAACTATAATAATATTCCGACCAAACACAACACTTACTGGACGTCCTTGAAGCCTCAGGAAAGGAGAACAATTAATGAGATAATGAGAAACTGGCGAAACGAGTAGTTTATTTTTAACAGCTGTTTCCCAGAAAACTAGTTTTCGCACGTTAGCTCCCTTTTCATAGACCAGGTCACATATATTGGACTTTTATATATGGCGAAACTACTTAAATTCTATTTTATGATTTTATGGTATATTAAAACAACTGACTTTTGATCTTTCAATACTTAAAGCCTGTTAGTTCTGAATTAATAAATGTTTTTAATCATTTGTAATTCAATATTAATACTACTATGCATCAAATTGCAAAACGTTTCATGATATATCTTTTAATTTCGCATTTTCTTTGATTTTCATTGCTTTACAATTTTTGTTAGCAATCCGGAGAATTTAAAGCGCGGTTTTCAGGTGTATTGAAGTGCAGAAGCAGCGACTAACAACCATTGTATAAACCTACAAGTGACAAATCCTATCATTTTCACTCACACATACACAGACGAAAGCTTGTAAAATAACAGAAATTACATTAAGAATGCAATAGAATGAAAAAGCCCAGGCAGTTCGTTAGGGTTTATTAAATACGGGTATTCTACTACTAATACGGGCAAATGCCTTAGAAAAGGCATTAGTGTGTTGCCGTGTTATACTATCCAATTTATTAAATTAAGTACGTATTTGTTAAATTTTCAAATATATTTCGATTACTAAAATTCATAAAGATTAAATACATTTTATTTATTGTATCAAAATAATGGTAAATCTTTTCTATTTTATTAAAAGTATTTGAAGAATCTATATATATTTTTCTAAATTATTAAAAATAGTTTTGTTTAGTATTGTATATTTTATGCGTGAAAATAGGCCCTTGCGGAACCTAACACCCAAA